ACGTTTTAAATTTTACACTTTTGAATGTAAACAAAAATTATATCAGCTGTTCGTCTAACTTGCAAGTTTCTGCAAATTTTCTGTTCGCGTACTATTTTGGATATTTCTCTCTTGTGAGCGAACATATGACATTTCGCCGGAATTTGGCAGTTGGTTGGTTTCTGTTGGAGATTTTAAACGAACGCACCTTTTATCATAGCCAAATAAATTTTGATAGAATTATTTTCCTCCCTGTAGTTATACCAACCTAGTGCAGGCGAATCCATCTGGACTGAGATATCATAACCCCAAGGGCCACGAATCTTGTGCAGATCTGTTCTCTCGAATGCAATGAGCACATCTCTTCTTAATCAGGCTATGTCATATGAGCAGACAAGAATGATCAGAGATTTGTTATGGTCGATTTCCCTCCGTTTAGGAGGCGCTGCTAAGCGTAACTAAGCGCCTGCTGGCAAGAATTTTGCTTCGCTCGATCTCTGACCGACAGTATACTGGCTCCTAAGTAAATAAAGTCCTTTATAGCTTCCAAGTAATACTTTCGACAGTGTCGTGCTCCCTTTGTTTTTGCTAGGAGGTAATAAGGCATGGAAGATTCCCGTCGTATTTTCGAACTGTTAAACAGATTTGACCATGATATGAAATATGTAACAAAATGACATGCTAACTTTTTAGGTACATCCGTCAGCTTTTCGGTACAATTATTTCCTCAAATTAAGTACAATTTGAAGATTGGATCTTCCATCCCTGTACTAAAGGCAGGATTCTATAAACAAAACCAAATGGGGATTGTTCTCTACGTCGTGATGGGAAAGCATATAAATGCAGAAGGCTTGAAGAATTCGCGAATCCAAAAGGAGCAACTTCAGCTGTGTAAGATTCAGATTGAATTGGAAACAATTTTGGGAAAAGTAAATGAAGCCATAAATGAATTAAAAGTAAGCAAAGTTTTAGTAGAACGATGTACATGCCTACTTATAAATATGTACATATATACGTAAATGTTTTGCATTGCACAGGTAGAAGAATTGCAATTAAAAGCCGGCGCTGCAACCGCTCTCAGTGAAAGCTATCGCTCATCGCCTCCTTCCGTTGCAGTATGTCCACAGGAAGAGCCCAGCACCAGTTCATCATCTAGATTATCGCTATTACAACTACCACAAAGATTAGATTACAGCGAAGTCTGCGAAGGTCCAGATTACAACGAGGATAATGTACAAAATGTAATTAATCAACAAATTATTGATTTAGATATGAATGTGGGAAAAAATAATGTTGAGGAGGAAGAAGACGAAGATATGTAACTGGAAAAATAAAACAATCTCAGTAATATGAGGCCATGAGAGCAGAACTTATTTTCTTGTACTTAACTTCTTAAAATAGTTTCGTATAAGATAATTTTTAAAGTAACTCACCAAAAATGAAATGATGTTCTCACCATGGCAATAAATCGGAGAGTCGCCAAATTGTTGCCATTGACGATTGCTGCCTATTTCTCATGGTTTGCATGGTGATTTCATTAAAAAATGTATCTCATTTGAGACTATTTTAAGTAGGGAAGTACACAAAAAAAATTTGGATAGGCCACTAGTGCTCTCATGGCCTCATATATAACTCATCTTTCAATTAATTTATCATGGAACTTTATCAGTATAATCTAAAATAAATTTTCACTATTCATAATGTATGTATGTATGTAGGATCTATAAATCGAGTTTTATTACGTATTAAACGACTAAATTAAATTCTTGAAAACAATTTTGATTACGTATTTTAAAAATTCGCGAGTTCAAGAACTCATACATATATACAAAGTATCGGCATCTTGACTAATAGATTGAATAGAGGTGCGATGGTTCATAATAATTCGCACGCTTTTATTTTAAGTTTAGGTTAAATTTTTTGTATGTTTCAAATCAATTTAATATTAGCACAATTAAATAAATAGAACGTTTCAAATATAACTTTTTCGAGAGTTGTAACATGATCTGTAAAATAAGGTCTTGGGAAAAGTATTTATTCTATGCTCCAGGTAAAGTCGATAAGATGTAATAATAAACTTCATTTTTGTCACTTATAAGTACTGTCCATGTATAAGGATTTATGATACATACATATATTTGCCATTTTTAAGGCGCCCGTTAGAACCTGATATCCCTTGTATACTACAAACACTGGCTGACTATATTTCCTGCAATCATTACTGACTCGATTTTAATTTTATATGCATACATAATGAAAATTGATTTTTTCACAATCCAGTGTTTTGCAAATCCTACAAATTCAGTTCGGTACCCTTCGAAACAAATTTTTAAGTCATGCTTATGCATACCTATTACATTAACATGATCAACTTAAACTACTAAAGCTTATTACGGTTCCTCAACTCAATATCTACTTTGCTTGTTTATAAAGCTTTTAAATCAAATACCATCGTCATCGCTGGATGAGCTCGAGGTACGCTGATGCTTTTTCTTTTTTGTTGGTGTTTGGCCCTCATCGTCGGAGCTGGATGATTCACTTGAATCGCTTGAGTCGCTGGTATCTGAATTACTAGAATTGCTGCCAGAACCGGCATCACTACTACCGCTATCGCTCTCTGAATCTGAAGAACTACTGTCGCTCGATGAATCTTCATCAGAATCCGAAGAGCCACTATCATTTGAATCTGATGACGTTTGAGAATCTGAATTTGATTCTTGCGATCCATCGACTACTGAAGATCCTGAGGAAGTGCGTGCACGTTTCGCGCGTTTCGATTTGGATGACTTAGTCGTTTCGCTGGTGGTGCTAACTGCAGCGCTTCCATTAGCTTCAGCATTTATTTTCTCGGCTATACGTTTCTTCAGCTGTTTCGTGCGCGACATCCGGTGCACAAATTTGCGTTTCTCCTTACATTCATAGGACCAATGTCCTAGTTGCAAGCACTTTTGGCAACGCACACCATTTGGAAAAGCTGCGGCCAACTTGGCATTGCTGAAGCAATAAAAAGGAAATGCAAAAACAAAAAAGTTATGAATTTCACATGCAGCAATTAGCGTGCCAACAAGAAACTTACCGCTTCTTTATAGAAAGTTTTCGAGCTGCTAGACCTACAAGTGTCATTTGTATGCTTTTTAAGTGCATCGACATTCCGGTATGGAATACCGGCGATTTTATTTATTTATAACTAAATGTTTTTCACAATACACTACGAATAGGAATGTTCGATATCGTATCGAGTTTTCTGAATATCGATATTTCACCGCACGATAGTCGATTTTTTGAATAGATATCCCAAGCAGAGAACGTTAAACGTTTCGAACGCATATCGACGGTAGTTCGGCAAAACCTCGTATCTCAAAACAATATCTAACAAAAAACTTTCTATCACTATCCGAAAATCATTTTTAATAACTTTTTTACTGAATATTAAAGACTAAGTTGTTTTTAGTTAATTATTAAAAATAATACATGCATAATGAATCGAAGTCAATATTTTCAAAAATCAATAAATAAAAAATACCAAATTATATGCGTATTGGCATTCGTAATTATCAATTTCCACAAAGGCCTGCGATTTTCATCGTTCATATAGATTTTCTCCTAAGCTAATACTGGAGCGGAAAGCAAAGCGCAGATAAACACGAAGAGCAAATAGTCATGCAGCGCAAAGACTGTTGAATAACATACTGAAGCGAAGAGCTAAATAACGAACTCTAAAGTCAAGGATATATAAATTTTGGTCTCGATTGGAGTCGGTTAAGACGTCTTCATAGGGTAATCTGATCTTTGACCCCTGTGTGACACGCCTTAACCGACGTCAATTGGGTACAAAATTGACATCTTCAGCTACAGCAGCATCGACGTACGGGTTGAAGCTTAGGAAATCAAATGTAAAAATTTGCTTCGTACATTTAAGGACCACCCTATTATACAGTGGTGGTCGAAAGTGGATGAAAGGTGTTTTATTTTTATATTTGCAATGTTTTCCAAGCTAATTTTTTTTTTGTTATTTTTTTATAGAAAAATGGTTTACGCCTTAACAAAAACCATGTTAAGCATACTTTCAAATTTTAAACAGAATTCAGAAAAAATCAACAATTTTTCATCAACATTTTTAGATTTTTCATCCGAATATTTATAAAATTTTTGGTTATGCAATTACAATGCTTATGAAATCTAAATAAAATAAGTGTGAGTTTTGAGTGGCTAAAAATACGCATTGAATTTTAATAATTTTTATTTTTTCAAGGCATTTTGCACCTTTTCCCTATAAACATGAATTTCTTGTGGAGGAAAATGTGCAATACCGCTTGCGAAAAGAGTTAAAGAAAAAAATCAACGCTAGTTTTTATAAACTGCACTTGTTATATGAAAAAACTGTAAAGGGCATAAGCAAAAAAAAAAATATTAAAAATCTACGCGACGTTTTATCCACCTAAATTTTGAACTTGCTCTATTAAAATTTCATAAGCCTTATAACTGCACACCCAAACATTTTATAAAAATTCTAATCAAAAAGCTCAAAATTTTGATGAAAATTTGTTGAATTTTTCTGAATTCTCTATAATGTTTGAACGTTTAATTTAAATGGTTTTGGCTAAAGTATAAACCATATTTCTATAAAAAAAAAACAAAGAAATTTTTGCTTGAAAGGCATTGTAAATATTAAAAACAAAACACCATTCATCCACTTTTGACCGCCACTGTACTTATATCGCGCTTATATTAGGGCCCGTTGAAATTATATATTAAATATATACAGTGGCGGTCAAAAATTGATGAATGGTGTTTCGTTGTTAGGTAATATTTACAATGTTTTTCAAACTGATTTTTTTTGTTATTTTCTTATATATGCATTAAGAAAAACTATATAATTCACACTACCAAATTTTATGCAGAACTTAGAAAAGTTCCCACAAGTTTGTATCTAAATTTCGAGCTTTTTAACCAGTATTTTTAGAAGTTTTATGGGTATGCACTTACATACATAAAATTCTGGTAAAACAAGTGCAAGCTTTGATTTTTAATAATTTCATTTTTTTTTGTTGACGGCGTTTTGCACTTTTTTCCATATAAATACACATGAATTTCTTGTGGAAGAATATGCGCAACACCGTTTGCGAAAAATATAAAAAAGTCAACGCCAGTTTTACTAAATTTCACTATTTATATAAAAAAAAAACCGCAAAACCCGTCTGAAAAAAAAAATATTAAAAACCAATGCGGTTTTATAGCCGCTCAAATCTTGCACTCATTTTACTAGAATTTTATAAGCTTATTAACTGCAAACCCAAAAAAATTCTAAAAATTCTAGTCAAAAAGCTCGAAATTTAGATAAGCATTTTCTTCTTATAATGCATATATGTATAAAGTGTGATTTATATAGTTCTTGTTAAAGCATGAACCATATTTTTATAAAAAAATATCAGAAAAACTATAGCTTGAAAAACAATGTACATAATAAAAACTATTTCGATTACACAGTGATCATGACTATTAAATAAAGGGCAGTGTTTAGACTTTCATATCCTTCCACACAGACAGATACACTTAACATCAAAGTGTATGGTGTATGCTCTGTTTTAAATATTCACTATATTTTACAAATTTTATTGTATTAATAAAAACGTTTATAAAGATTGAAAATATATGTAAACACAAAACAGCTGATATGCACTTTGACACTTTATCCACTTTTACCCGGAGAAAAAGACCGGGCTGTTTTGGGTACGTTCTAATTGTCGCTCTCTATTACCCATTTTTTGAGTACGGGAATGATTTCTGGGCTGTTTTGGGCACCCGCGGGATGCCGCATTGTGTACGGGAAAGAATCTAATATTTTACTCAACAGAATTTTGTTGGGCTGTGTAATTATCACACACAATTATAATTCACAGAAAATTTTAATCAGTTGAATTGGATTAATTTTTAAGTTTGAATAGGTCTAGTTGCAATCAAGAAAAATTTTAATTTGTCTCTTTATAAAAAATGTCATAAGTTCATAATTTTTGCATTGATTTTAATGTATGGTACATAGTTTTACTCGTAATTAAACATTCTTTTAGAAAAGAGACAATTTTCATTTCAAATTTTGAAAATTTCAGATTTGTTCCAAAAATGTTGTAGATATTTAAATGCGCACACAAAAATTATTATTATTTTGAAAAGCCATATAAAAACTTAACTGATTAGTGCCGGAAGTCGTGCGAAAATAGTTTTTTAAGAATAAGTATAGAATTTGAGGGTGTTAGAAAAATTTTGAAAACAGTTTCGTGAATTACTCGGCCAATTTTACGACTTATACTAAGTCACTTAAAAAGTTTGTGATTTTTATTTATTTTTTAACACCGTATTATTCTTATAGAACTATTAAAAAAAATATATTGCCAAATGTAAGTAGGTCACCACTAAATGAAATTAAGCGACACCCACCCCCCTATTCTAACAAAGTCCAAAAATTCAGTGCATCACTTTTGCGATTTCTACTGCGCCTCAAAGTATGCCGCTAAACAAACATGCCGCCACAAAATAAAATTTAAAATTTTAATGCACTTATTTTTTGGGGCATATTTCCAGGCACCGTAGAAATCGCAATAGTGATGCGCTAAGTTTTGTGACATTCTTAGGGCGCAAGGTTCGGCCAAAAAAAAGTTTTTCTTCGACATTGCCCTCCAAAAGTTTTTGTTTGCATTTAAGGATGTGTGGTCTAATATATACATACATAAACAATCTGGTTTTATTTCTATTATTTATCATACAAATTATGTATTGTATATCGTCTTCATTCTCGTTTCCTTTTCCGCTCGAAACAAATTTTTACTTTGACTTTCGCACCTTATTATTTTTTCTTTTCCTTTTCTTTGCCCCCCTTGCACAAAGTAAACAAGTAAACAAGAAAACATAAAAATGCATTATTTACTTTATTATTTTGTTCTTCTCTGCCATTCTTTACCATTTGAATAACAACAAGAAACGGAACAAGGACGCAAATCGGGAAAAATCAATAAACGGACATTGACAAAAGCAACAGCAGCAGCAGCAGCAGCAGGCGCAGCGGAAGAAGCGATGGCGATGGCAACGGCCCCAAATGTCCTTTTCCATATGCAATACTGTAGTACATACGAGTTGCTTTACGGTTCGTGCGGCAGTTGAAATGCAGCTGAGGAAGTGTGATGGCGAAAGTTAAGAAATTAGAATGTAGCTGTGCTAAATCATTTGAATTAGTTAAGAAATTATTTATGCAATAAATGAATTGAAAATAAAATAAACAAAGAAATAGCGAAAGTTAATTACGTGTGAAAAACTAATAATTGGAAATCATGGGAAAGACATTAGTAAACTACATATGTACTCGCACAAACACACGAACCCTCATGCAAGTGCAAACATCATGTGAAAAAATTAATTGCACATAAATTTCCACTTGAAAATTAAAAATTACTTGTTTTTTTTTTGCAATAAACATTTGATCGCTTAGTGCAATTATTATTTTGTTTTTAATCGCGCCGCTTTTCGTTAAAACACAATGGTTAGCAAAAGTGCAGTCAGTGGCGAGGAACGCCCAGTTTTTATTCCGCCACGAAAACGCCAGACATCGAAAAAAGTGAATGGTGCACAAAACTATGTAGACCACATTGTTAATGTACAGGTGCGTAATAACGATATTTTTGCTTAAGTATTTCCTGGTGATAAAATCTTAATTATACTGTAGTGAAAGAGTATTACATATAAAAAATGTTAAAATTTTAAAATGCACTCTGTGTGTATGGGGCAGTGGGTGGTAAAATACTTGTATAGCGATGAAATAACACAGTGGCGCATAGCAGAATGTATGGTAAAGGTGCAAAAAGCAGTCAGCACTTCAAAAAAAAAAACAAAAAGGGCGAAAGCTTCGAAAGCAGTTCAACTTTCATTTTCTTCTTACCAAATACGCAAAAGTATGTGTGTTCCTATGTAAATAGTATATGCTAATACTAGCATAGCATATTCGAGTGACTTTATTTTGTTTAAAATTTTTTCTGCCCATTCAATCAAATTTAACCAAAAACAAAAACAGGGTAAAATACATTACAGTCGTGTCGAACCAATTTCAAGCACTGTGCAATATTAAATAAAAATTCATCAAACTTTCGTAGAAATTTCAAGCTTTTGTAATTAGATTTCCTAATGTCTAAAACTTACAGTTGTTTTTTTAGCATTTTTTTGTCCACTTGCTTCCATATAACATATAAGAATACACACAAATTGTTTTTTTATGGAAGAAAACCGTAACATCTTCGACAAAAAAAAAAAAATCTAAAAAAACAACGGTAATTTTTAGCGATTTGAAACTTCTACTTTATTCATTAGAATTCCATGGGCTACAAAACTGCATACGCAGGATCTTTCTAGGAAGTCTAATTAAAAAAGCTCTACATTTTTACGAAAGTTTGTTGAATTTTTTTTAAATATTGTACAAAGTTTGAAGTTTGGATTTAAAGAATGAAAGAATGAAAAAATATATATAATTTGTTAAAACTTGTCAAAACGTGGTGCGGCTATGATTTTTTCGACCGCTGTATGTAACGGGTGATTTTTTTGAGGTTAGGATTTTCATGCATTAGTATTTGACAGATCACGTGGGATTTCAGACATGGTGTCAAAGAGAAAGATGCTCAGTATGCTTTGACATTTCATCATGAATAGACTTACTAACGAGCAACGCTTGCAAATCATTGAATTTTATTACCAAAATCAGTGTTCGGTTCGCTTTACGTCCGATTTATGGTCTACATAATCGACCAAGTGAGCAAACAATTAATGCGATTGTGACCAAGTTTCGCACTCAGTTTACTTTATTGGACATTAAACCAACCACACGAATGCGTACAGTGCGTACAGAAGAGAATATTGCGTCTGTTTCTGAGAGTGTTGCTGAAGACCGTGAAATGTCGATTCGTCGCCGTTCGCAGCAATTGGGTTTGCGAAACACATTTCGAACCGAACACTGATTTTGGTAATAAAATTCAATGATTTGCAAGCGTTGCTCGTTAGTAAGTCTATTCATGATGAAATGTCAAAGCATACTGAGCATCTTTCTCTTTGACACCATGTCTGAAATCCCACGTGATCTGTCAAATACTAATGCATGAAAATCCTAACCTCAAAAAAATCACCCGTTACTTATCTGCACACTTGTCAAAAATTTTTTTACAGAAAATTCGATCAAGTTTTTTATTTTCGATGACCAATAGGTAGGGAAAATCTTACTTTGGATTCCTTCTGCGCGACCCTGAAAACCCCTGATAACTATCACACGTATCCGGTAAACTTTTGAAAGCTTGTCGTCCTATTGGATCGGCCATTTTGCATTTAAAATATCTGACTTTAGATTCGTAATAAGTACCCACGAAAACCCCCTAGTAACGAGTTTGAAGCAAATCCGGTCAACTTTTTAATTTTCGTCGGCCGTAATGGATCCACAATTTTGACGTCATTGAAAAATGTTTCTGTCTATTTTTTCGAAATTACAACTGTCAACAGTAACGTAAGTGCCAGACTATGCGGTGGCAAAAAACTTCAGGCCAGTCACTCTGACATCCTTCATGCTTAAAAGTCTGGAGCGCATGTTCGAGAAGTGTATTAGATCAAAGGTTTTGATGAACAACTAAGATGCTGTTCATTAACATGCATACCAAAGCGAAAAGTCCTGTGAATCAGCTCCTCATGACCTTGTAACAAAGACCGAAGTGGAACTGGAAGAAAGTGCGTACACAATGGGAGCCTTTGCTGATATTGAGGGGGCGTTTCTGGCTCTGCGGCCAGAAGACATTAAGTGGTCGATACAATCATAAGGTGGATTCACTTCATTTTATTTAGAAGATTGCTGACTGTATGGGACGAAGCTAGCCTTTGCACCATGGCAGAGGTTGAGAGGTATCGCTAAAGTCTTTGCAATACCGAAAGTGGCAGACTGGATAATTGGCGAAAGGTGGCGCGGGCATAAACTGTGGTCTGCGGTTACAGCCAAGCTGCCCTAAAGGCCTTGGTAACCGCTCGCACCCCTTCAAAAATAGTCCAGGAATGTAAGTTGTGGCTGAACTCTGTTAAAACGTGAAATGAGCTTGAACTGGTACGGGTGCCACTACATTGGCACTATGGTGTTCAAGGCAAGGAGCTGGCTGATGGCTAACTGTGGTTCTCTGGAGCGTGCAATTTGACTGGAGCCAATTTTAGGCCCAAGCAAAGGGGGAGTGATCGGGTATATGAAGGATCTCATAAATAAAACTCATGAGCGCCGTTGGTGTGGTATTGACGCGTGCAAAACAACAGGGTGTTTTCTGAAAGGGCCTGACAGGGTGGTATTAAAACTCCTTCTCAGACAAAGAAGGAGGGACAGTCTATGGGGACGACATGTGGTCACCATAAGCTTCATCGATAATCCATTATGTACACTGTGTTTGGATGATGAGGATAGTGCAGGGCTTTTTCTCTGCCACTGTCCGGCCGTCACCAGACTTAGATGGTACATTTTTGGGTCGAATGTATTGAGACTGGACGAGACGCATGTTCTTACCTTATTACCGAACAAATTATAAATTGGAGTGATTAATGGTACCATTATTTAATATAAAATTTATTTACATTTACAGAATCGTCAAAAACTTTCGCCATCCAATCCAGCACTGGACGAGGACTTAGTCAAAACTTCCTTAATATTGAAAAATAAACAACCACTGCCACAAATACCAGGCGCTCAGGTCAACGGTGACACAACAGATGATCATTCAACGCACAAGTCATCGCAATCTGTGGATAATATTTACGAAGATGATAACGAGTTGCAGAATTTTGAGAGCATATCACAGGGTACGAAATCGACAAATCGCCATGAAAGTACCACAGTAACGCCGAGTAGCTATTCAGAGAGCAGTCTAGATGCAAAGTCACACGATTGCCTAAGTAATCGCTCTTCCTCAAAGAAACGTGTAAATATACGCACTGACCCGCTGCATGTACGCAGCCAACGCGAGTCACCGGAAATTGTTAACTATGAGGATTTAGAATCGGGCGAAACGAGCGTTTTAAATACGGATGTGCATAGTTTGGAGAGGTACAATACGCGTAGATCAATGGACAGTAACTACTTAACTATGACAGGTGGGTAAGATGAAGAGTTTCGATTTTATCGTCCTATTTTCTTACTGACATTCTGCCACACAGGTACAATTAAACGCGGACGCAAGAAGGGTCAAAGCCTCGATTTGCAAATAAATATTAGTCGTGAGGAGCTGGAGCAAATAAATGCTGTTGCCGCTGCGGTTCAAGTGAATAAACAACAGAATCTCTGTTGCAGCTGCACTCCGCAAACCGGTCTACATATCCTTTTCTTATCGCTAGTATGTCTTCCATTCGTAACATTAGTCTCGAGCATCTATTCATTTTATATTGGCACGCTTACCTGGTACAATATGTTCAACTACTTCAGTGAGGAGAAATCATGCGTTTATAAATTCTTTATGTCACCCATCCTGATACTCGCCTATCCTGTCGGTATACTCGTTTGCACTCTCGGCTTGGGGATATATGCGGGCATTTCACAATTAAGTCTACAATTTAATAGCTGGCTAAATGAGATAGCCGACATAGAGAAGGGCTTCTACGGTTGGCTATGCTCCTTTCTACATCTCTCCGACTGCAGTCCATACGAGGTGGTTATATTGACGGACATTCGTCTGCCGCAGGATGTGCCACGTGTACATGTGAATACGTCCACTGAAGAATTATCGCTGTAAGTGGAACAAGCACACAAAGAATAAGTATTTACAACTCAAAAGTGAACATAAACCGTCAAGTTTTTGGAAAGTGATATAACGCACATACTTATAGTACATAGATACATACATACATATGTAATATTAGAGGCAAATCGAAAAATGCATCTATGGTTAATTTGAAAATTCGATATATATATTAACAATACCTACATAAATATATACATACATACATGTATGTACATTAGGGTGGTCCAAACAAAGTAAATATGGAAGTTTAATGCTCTCACCCTCTAAGATTGTTAACCCTTTTTTGTTGTGGAATCAAAATATATTTAGAGGTGCCTCAAAGCGCTCAAAGTTTTCCACAAGGCGACTTCGCCTTAGTTTCCCATGTATTTTATATACAAATAAAAAAAAACATTTTTCGTAGAAATGGTATAGAATCCTTGAAAACCAAAATTTTTAATCGCGAAACTCGGCTTCTTCTCAAGATACTTCAAAGAATAATAGCCAATTGTTTATTTAATCATTTTTTAACATTAATTATTTTTTAATGGTTCCCCAAAAATGCAATGGAGGGATCAATAAAAAACATGTAATATGGAAAAATGGCTATTATTCTTTGAAGTCTCTTGAAAATTTTCCGATTGAAAAATATAGATTTTGTTTAATTTTATATCATTTCTACAAAAAATTGTTTTTTCCCCATGTAAAATACATGGGAAACTTTGAGCATTTTGAGGCAAGAAGAAGTGGTTTATTTTGTTCGATATACAACAATCCTAGCGGCTGAGAGCATTAAAATTCCGACTTCGCTTTTTTTTTTTTGCATACATTTTTGGACTACCCTAATGTATTTATGTAACGGGTGTCTGTTTTTGTGCAGATAGGATAGGAAGCGTTGCTTTAGAGCAATAGCGTATTTTAATGGGTGATAATTTAGAGGACGTAATATTTTGAAACAAGAAATTTTAAAAATTAAATATTGGATCGAGCGATTTTTTTGTAAATCGGTAAATTTGTGCGATAAAAAACTAGACGTTTTTTTTTTTCTATTCACATATCGAGTCCTAACCTCGAAAAAACCCCTAAGCGAAATTTTTTTGTTTCAAACTTTTTTTTTGACGCAGAAATGAATTCAGACGCTCTAGGTGCATTTCTACATCAAAAAGAATATTTTGAAACAAATTTTGTTTACGTTATCTTAGCAGTTAGGACCCGATGTGTAGATACATATGTAAATACATTAGGGTGCCTCACAAAAAAAAAAAGTTGCAGATTTTCCACCAGAATTATGAATTTGATTATATTTTAAAACTTCCAACTTCCGCCAAAATATTTCGGAGAATTGTTGGGATTTACGTGGGTTTTGAGATTTGAAATTACATCTCCAAACTATGCACGATTAAGTGTTAACCGATTTCAAAACAAAACAAGCAAGAAAAGTGATGTCTTCGGCAATGTTTATGAATCTTAGAAAATTTACCTTTATCTATTTATTAAATCTATATATATTTTTAATCACTTCTTAAGGAGAAATGTAAGTACACATTATAGTAAATTGATCTTGGAGGAGTTATATTACAAAAGCTCATATCTGAATAATCAGTAGCAAATAGTATGAGGGATGTACCTTAAAGATTTTCTAAGTCGACTTTGTTTGATTGATTAGTAAATTACGGACAAAATTCTATGGTTTTAGCAATCAAACTAAAGGAGTTTTAAAGCAAAACTTCATATCTGAAGGTCAGTTATATGGAAGCTATTACTTATAGTAGCCCGATCTTGATGATTTTAACTGAAAATCAGCCCTGTTGATGGCAAGTGAAAGGATTACCAAATTTCATGATCATAGCTGCCAAAGTGGAGAAGTTATAACGCAAATACTCATATCTAAACAATCAGTTGTATGGGAGCTTATGTTGTAGTCAGCCGATTTTGCGGCCTCCCTATTATCCAAGAAAATTTTGCAAAGATAATTTTTCTGTGCAATTTTCAACCGCCCTAATGTACATGCATTTTTTTCAGTTTATAAATTGATTAGAAAACATAAACAAAAAATATAAAAATTTAAATTAAATTAAACGTCGCATACACATTTGAAACGGAGCACGAAACATTTTTATACTACTACCAAAACGCTGTAAATTTGCTTCATTGGGCCTTTTCATACACTAAACTCAATATCTGAAAATGTTTAATTTTGGGGATTCACTAGTTGCTTCAAAATGCAATTCAACACAATATCAGAAGGTTTTAATACATTTTGGTTGTTGTGAAACACCTTACAATTTTTAAATTTCTGACATTACTAAAATGTGACTAGTTTTAAAAACTAGACAAATGCCCTTATTGTAATTTTATAATTTGTAAAATACATGTTGAATGTATGCGGTTTTTCACCACTGTTAGTAACAAAAAAAATTATTATAGAGAGACAAATACAAATAGTTACGTATGTACATATTTATCAACATAAATATGTAAGTTACTATTTATCTAAAGTTAGGTGCACACTTGTGTTAACAACAGCAGTAAAATAAATAAATAAGATTAATAGATACTATTTAATAAAGCAAGTTACAAATATTGTAAAACTACTGCAGTTTATTTTGAAGCTAACTCAATGAAATTAAAGTGCATTTTTTGACGAAGAATTCCTTTTTTTGAGTAGAGCAGATTCATATTTATATATACTTTTAGGTATATTAAATTACATGTAAGTGTATATGCATACATATAAAAATTAACTAAAAAATACATATACTTATGCATTTAAAGTATTTAATGTATTCAAATGCATTTATTTTGAATAAGTAAAATTTAATTATGAGTCTCAAAAAATATGTATGTAAATCAATAATGTACATTTACGTATGAAAAAACACAAATTTATCTAAAACGAAAATACAAGTTATTGAAAAAAAAAACTCAGTTAATAGTGTGATGAAATGAATTAATCATTGTTTTGCGGCAATTTATGTGCAATTTTGTTTTAATTTTTGTAAACGCTTCTAAAATCGATAAGAAACAGTGTAGTATGAGTTAGTTTTTCTATTCCCAGGCGACACTTTTGCAACTAAGTATTCAAGTGATTAGTAAGAATATACACGTAACGTAGTATTTATATATATTCTAAATATGTACTTAGTTTATTTTTTAAGGCAGCGTACGACAGTCTTAATAAGTAGTCCTCTATATATTTTTGAATAATTTAAATTATAAGAACTTTATGGTTAAATGTGCAAACTAGATTTCGAAATGTATGCCAAAAATGTAGATAATTCTTCAATGAAAGATCAATAAATCTCAAAGAAAATGTGTTGGATGCATATTTTAGTCAGCGGAGGGAAGAATCAAAGGAAAGGAACTTTACTCTTTCTAAAATATATACACTATGGGCAATAAGAAACTGGTAAGATATTTAGGTAAGAAATACTCTACTAGTTTTACTTGTGTAGTTTCGTTTAAATAGTAAACTGAACCCTTTCGAATCGGGAGTCGCTTCGACGTCGAAACACCCGAACATAATTACCAAACATTCATACACAAGGAGAAATGAAGACCTGCTCAGCTGATGCGCTCAACGTCTTGCTTGGAATACAGCCCTTTCATATTTTAATAGAAAAGAAGGCGATTACTGTGGCACTCAGAATGCTAAACATCTCTGACTTCAAAATCGGATATATGACGAGTTGGATATGAAGGTTCTAATGAAATTCGGCAATTATCCTATATAGCAAATGCGCGATGCTATAGTTCCGAAACTAGAAATTTCTAGCAGAACGAGCTCTCTATAATGCAGAGTACATATGTACTTTAGGGTGGTCCAAAAACAGTAAAGTCGGAATTGTAATGCTTTCACCCCTTATTATTGTTGTATATAGAAAAAAAGTATACCCCTATTTTTTTTATTTTGAAATCAAAAAATATTTGGAGGTCGCTCAAAGCGCTCAAAGTTTTCCGTGTATTTTTATATAGGAAAAACAATTTTTCGTAGAGATAGTATAGGATTCTTGAAAATCAATATTTTTCGATCGGAAAACTCTGGTTCTCTTCAAGAGACTTTCAGTGATAATACCCAATTATTTATTTAACCATTTTTTAATACTAGCGATTTTTTATTGGTCTCCATATTGCAATTTTCGGTGTTTCTGTGGGTTTTTGGCGGACTTATAAATTATGGTTCGATGGAAAAAAGGGTAAATAAACAATTGGGTATTTTTATTGGAAATCTTCTGCAGATAAACAGTGTTTTTCGATAGAAAAATATTGATTTTTAAGAATTCTATACAGAGAGAAGATTGAGCGACCTCTAAATACTTTTTGATTTCAAAATGAAAAAATTGGTGTATATTTTTTCGGTATAGAACAATCCTAGGTGGTGAGAGCCTAACAATTCCGACTTTACTTTTTCCACATGCATTTTTGGACCACCCTAGTGTACATTGGCACCGGTTCCAAAAAATCGGTTTTTTGATTAATCACGGTTTTTTATTTAGGTTTAAAATCGTTAAAAAAAAAAACTATATTAAAAACCTGATCTTTTCGGTTTACCCGAAAAAACCCGAATTACAAAAAACACTACAAAAAACCAAAACACATCGAAATCAAATTAAAACAAGTCTTCACTTACATTTATTACTTACTGCTGTGCAACGCAAATTAATCAAAACCATAGTTTTTCTTAATTTTATATAACAACTTAATTTCCAAATATACGAAATATAATAATATAATAAAGCGTTGGACATATTTATACTTTTTTAATTTATAAATGAATGCATATCACTCATTTACTTCAATAGTGTCATAATGCCAAAAAGCAAAACTCAAGAAAAACGGCTTAAAAGTATTGAATTTACATATACTCCCATAGTAAAAATTAATCACACTTTGTTCTATTGAGATACTGGTAATCGATACAGCTATGAAATTTTTACACAAATATTCAACTCAAAATCTGTATTTTTTTGGAGTAAATGGGCGATATATGTATATATATATAATTACATATGTATGTATATACTTATGTTAATGGTAATATATTATTAACTTCAAAATTTTGTTGTACAGTGATTGTTTTTTTTTTAATATTTCAAATAATTTTCATGGTAAGTATTTTTTGTTAATTTTTTATTAAAATATGGGTTATGTTTTAACAAACGGTATAAATCCAAGTTTCAAACTTTGTGCGAAATTTCAAATATTCACAATCGACTTCACAATCGATTATGCTTGGCTAATAGATCAGCAAATAAAAATATAGTAGTTAATATGAAGTTTTTGGTACGCCGTAAAATTTTATTCTTATCTCGACGAATTTCAAAATGTTATTCATTGCTGGGGAATGTAAAAACTGAAT